TTTTACGAATATTTAGCGAAGAAAAAGACGGCGATAACAAAGGCGGCAAAATTATAAATTATAGACGAAAGGGGACAAGATTAAAAAATTTTGCGAAGAAGACGACGACGACGACGACGACAACGACGACGACGACGACGACGACGTATCTGAATGACATAAAATCGGGCAAAAAAATGCATACACGTTATGCGCTTATGCATCAAATGCACTTATGGACATCGTTATTACAGCATTGTGATTGGAAAAATATAGATTTTTTCACAAAAATAGGCATTTATTGATAATATTCATATAATTAAAAGATATAATAATTTATTCCTACAGAAACGTTATCCGTCCGGTAAAGGATACACTGTAGCGTCTCTGTATGACCATCATGTAACGAAAAAATATACTTGGCGGGAGCCGCTACCGCGTTTTCTGATGTATTATATTTTGCTAATAGTTAATTTTATTTAAAACTACATTTTTATAGTTATCACACGAGTTCGATTATCTAGAGAGATGATAAAACAGTTGCAAAAAATGTAATTTTGCGGCAATATATTTGATATTGTAGCATTATAAATATTCATACTTATTTATAAAGCATTTATATAATAAAAATTATAATCTTAATAATGTATTATTTAAATAAACCGCAAATTTATGTCCAAAGTTGATAACGTCGTCACTCTGCAATTACCTCCGGGCCCACGGGGCCCATTTGTTGGCACGAAAATTTGCCCAGAGCTGTCGGTCTTTAAGAGTATCTCATCGGTGATTTTTATATAGTTACCATCCGTGTTTGATTATCCAGAGAGATGGTAAAACAATTGGAAAAAAATGTAATTTTACGGAAATATATAATATTATAGCATTATAAGTATTCACTTATTTATAAAACATTTAGATAATAAAAATCATGATTTTAATTACGGATTCAAATAAATGTCAAATTAATGTCAAAAGTCGATAACATCGACACTCTGTAATTACTTTCGGGCCTTTTGGCTGTCACAAAAATTTACCCAGAGCTGTTAATGATCTTTAACAGTATATCGTCGGTGAATGATGATATTATCAAATTAACCATATCCAATTGCTGCAGAATTGGAACAAGGAAAGCATTTAACCTCCTATTACCAGCTCTAAAGCGTAATCACACTACAGGTTGTGGGCTCTGTTGCGGTTAAGATTACGGTTGAGTGTTGGAAATCAACCAATCAGAGCGAACCAGTTCGTCGGTTGGGTTACAGGTTATGATTTAGACACGAGTCTATTTTTCAACCTTGCGGTTACAACCGTATCCAATATATTATTTATATTCTCGGCAGGTTATG